TTTTGTTGTTGTTGTTGTTGTTGTTGTTGTTGTTGTTGTTGTTGTTGTTGTTGTTGTTAAATCAAAAGAATGGGGGAAAATATCTTTAAGTTCGTATCAATAACTCCAAGTACCCAGAATTGACGAGCGTCTGATCCCAGCGTGTCTAGACACATATTAGACTTCTTATTACTGTACTGTCAGTCCAAGGTTCAGGGTTGCTTTTGTAACTAAAGCAACGTAGAGAAAAAATGTCTAGTAGTAGTAGTATAGGGTTTTACGGCGCTCGCAACTGCTAAGGTCATATGAGCGCGCTATGCCTATCAAATCACGGCATCAATCAAGGTCCAAAATGAGGGACATTTCATTTCTACAAAAGTACTTGTATTCTCGTGATAACAATCTAGTCGTCTTTTTTCCCCAGTTTTTTCTTTTTTTAAGTGTTTTTGTTGTTTATTTGGGGGATAGAGTTGAGTGTTTGGTTTTCTTTTGTTTGTACGGGTTATTTTTGTTTTGTTTTGTTTTGCTTGAAGTTGTTTGTTTTATTAAGGGGGGGGGGGTCATAATACTTTTTTTTTTCAATTCTAAAAGTGCAGCCTGTGTATTTTCTCTGCTCTTGTGCGCAGCCAATATCAAGAAGACCTGTTCAATAACAAATCGAACTGCGGATAGAATTACTGAATACAAACGGAATTAAAACAGGAAACAATTTATTTTCTTTCGAGGCAAACTCAAACACAGGAGAGAGCGAACAAGGATACACCAGCAGGAAATTGATTTAAAGACTTTGTAAAGGATTTTTTTTTGGGGGGGGGGGATGGGGGGTTCGGTTTATTTTAAAATCCCAAACGTTAATTAACTCAACGGTATCTTCAAAAAGACTACAAGAGTACAGTTGCCAGCTCAGAAAGACTGGGTTATATGAGTTCCGTGCATATTGCCTTATTAGCAGTTTCTAATTGTTGTCTTTTTTTTTATAAAGACCTATTCTATCTACCTATACATTATTATAATATATTAATGTGGGTGAGTGTGTGTGTGTG